GAATGTTCCTGTAAAGTGCCCTGAGACAACTTTGTTGTGATTTGGCGCTATATAAATAAACTGAATTAAATTGAATTAACTCGTCCCCAGTGCTGGTTCTGGTTGTCTCTTGTCTCCAATCTTTCTGAAGTGCTCATGGACAGGACTTGGGGGTGAAGTTGTGCAGAGAAGTGTGTCAGATTTGGCAACCTCAGAGTCTCACCTCTGCTTTTTTGTAGATGATTTGGCTTGAACCATGACCTTCAGCGTGCACTGTGTTGGTTCCCAAGTGAGGGCTAAAACGACAAGAATGAGAATCTGCTCCTTTAAGTCTGAGGCTCTGGTTCTCTACAGGACAAAGGAAGAAAGCTCTCTCCTGGTCTGGGATGAGTTTTCTCAATTGGAGGAGTTTTAGTATCTGACTTATTCACAGGTGACTGTAGGTTGGAGCAGGAGATGAAGGCTTTGTCCACAGTAACGAGAACATCGTTCTGATTTGTCATATTGCATTGGTCCGCCGATGGCCCCATTGTATAGGGTGCCACTTGTAAAGTAACAGTCAAAAATTAGCAGCAATATTTTGGTTTATTTAGCCTTTCATAAGAAAAAAAAATAGTTTTTTTTTTCCCCCAAGTCCTGTTTTCACCATGTTATTCATACATTTATAAATGTCGTAGTTCCCAACTAAAGATTTAATTTCCAAGCTAAATGTTTATTTTCCAAGCTTAATATTTAAGTTCCAAACTAAACATTTAATTTCTAAGCTAAACATTTAATTCTAAATTAGATATTTAATTTGCTAACTAAATATTTATTTTCGGGCAGCACGGTGGCGCAACTGGTAGAGCTGCTGCCTCTCAGCGAACAGGTCCTTGGTTCAAACCCCGGTCCAGGGGCCTTCTGGGTGGAGTTTGCATGTTCTCTCCGTGCATGCGTGGGTTTTCTCCGGGTACTCCGGTTTCCTCCCACAGACCAAAAACATGCATGTTAGGCTGATTGGTAACTCTAAATTGTCCCTAGGTGTGAGTGAGAGAGTGAATGGTTGTTTGTCTCGTTTGTCTCTATGTGGCCCTGTGATGGACTTGCGACCCGTCCTGGGTGTACCCCGCCCCTCGCACAGTGATTGCTGGACATGGGCACCAGCGACCCCCGTGACCCAAAAATGGAATAAGCGGGTAAAGATAATGGATGGATGGATGGATATTTATTTTCCAAGCTAAATGTTTAATTTCAGACTAAACATTTAATTTCTAAGCTAAACATTTAATTCCTGAACTAAATATTTAATTTGTTAACTAAATATTTAACTATGACCTAAATATTTAACTTGCATGCTAAATATTTAGGTCAGAGTTAAATATTTAGTTAGCAAATTACATATTTATTTTGGAAATTAAATGTTAAGCTTAGAAATTAAATGTTTAGTTAGCAAATTAAACATTTAGCTTGGACAATAAATATTTAGTTTGGAAATTAAATGTTTAGTTTTGAAAATAAATATTTAGCTTGGAAATTAAATATATAATTTACACCTAAATATTTAGTTTACTGACCAAATAATTAACTTGCAAGTTGAGTATTTAATTTGTAAATTAATTATTTGGCTTGTAAATTAAATATTTAGTTTGGAACTATGACATTTATGTATGAATAACATGGCGAAAATATGACTTTGAAAAATAAAACTATATTTTTTTCTTATTAAAGGCTAAATAAACCAAAATATTGCTGTTAATTTGTGACTGTGTAACTTTACAAACGGCACCCCATACCATCACTGAGGGATTTTAATTGTGAATATTTCTAGTTTTCAAAATGAGTTTTTCAAAGTTTTTCTGGACTAAAATCAAAAAGGAACTGCAAGTAAACCCTAATGCTAAGAGTTACACTGTGTTTTTATTTTTTTCTTGTCTGAAGCAGCACAGTGACAGATCCTGCCATGTGGAGGGAACAATTCTGTTTATGACTAGACAGAGGTGGAGCCATGGGGTGGCCAATGGTGGCCTTGGCCACCGCAGATCAATTAATGGCTGCTCCAATAATTTGAGGAAACTATATTTTTAGGCAAAAAAAAAAAGATCTAGAAAGCACTTTTTCCTTAATAGATAGGGGTGGTTGGTTTACATACTGTAAATATATAGGGCGGCACCCATCTTGGATTTTGAGTTGGCAACTCAGTTTTCAAAAGGAAACTTTCTTATGCCTATAGGCACATACAAAAATAGAAGTAATCTTGTGCACAGATGGACAGAAAGACAGAGGATATTTCCAATTCCCCCTCTTCACTCCATGAGACAATAATCTGAGTCTGAAGGTAAAGGTCTTTACTAGTCCAGGGCTATACAACTGGTGGCCCGGGGGCCAAATCAGGCCCACAGGTGAACTCAGTTCATCTCACCAATGGGCTCATTTTTAAATCAAACTTAATTTTAAACCATAAAACAAACGTACTTAATGACAATAACTGCTGGATGTCCGGCCCCTGAGCTCTTGGCTTTCAGTTACTGTGGCTGCTGAGATGTTTAGTTGAGCCCTGTACTAGTCAAAACATTCTAGCCCTCACCTACTTTATCCTAAATTATTAATTTGTTACTTGCACAGTAAGTTACTGGCAAAAGAAAACATTTAAATAGACACACTTCATTTAAATTGATCACTGTGCAAAAATAAGCACATTTTGGCAGCCATCTTGAAAAAAGTTGCCATCTTGGATTTTCAAAAGGCCAGTCAGGCAGATTTTACAAATACCTCAAAGAAAATCATCATAACAAATTTGGAGCTTGTATTTTCAGGATTTGTCTTTGATCCCCTCTATACAAACTGTTTTTCTCCCACTGGTTTAGTTCAAGCTCAGATTTGAGACATTAAAGGTTCCTCCTTACCTTTTGAATTCATGTAGAACGTTTATTCAAAAAGTCTTTTACGCTCTAAGAGGTAGGACGGACAGAGAAGAGGATTCTTCATTTGGTGGCACGTGTTGATCCGTCACATCCACGCACACCAGGCCAGCTGACGAACAATGATGTGACAGTTTGTGGGTCAGGGTGAGTCAGACTTCTGGGTCAAATGTCTTCCAGTCCACTCACTGTGCACAGCAGTACATGTGTCCAAAACGTGACTCGTTTTCCTAACGCAGCAGGACACATGCTGCCTGTGAGGTCTTTGCATCTGCAGAGTGACTGAATCAGGAACGAGCTGGGGGTCCATGTGTGTCACAAGCAGCAGAAATAAAAAACAGTGGTCAGTCAGTCCTTAAAGCAACGAAGGAGCGAGGACAGTGTGACAGCACACACTTCAAAGTTCAGCATGCATGGTCAGTAGGAGATACCATCACTACACAACTTTCATTTTCTTATTTCAAGTTTGACGGCTCATGACTCGGCAGGACTTTTTGTTTCTGCTCCTTAAATCAGTTGAATATCTGTGGCGACGTTTGTCCTCAGGTAGAGCTTTGAGTTTGCTGCAGCCCCTTCATGAGTAAAATCAGCTCATAAATGCCCCAGAACTCCAGCTCATTCAAAACTGAGACTGTTCTTCACAATCCTCGATATGTTCTTGTTACATAATCATTTGTCCTCATGAAGTGGAGCAGTGGAAATGCTCAAAAACGTCTGATGATTAATCACATTAACGCCATCAATGACGATGGAGGGAGCAAATATTTAAAGTGCGTCGAGCTTTGGCACGGTGGATCAGTTAGTAGAGCTGTCGCCTCTCAGCGAGAAGGTTGCTGGATCGAATCCCAGCCAGGTGCCTTTCTGGGTGGAGTTTGCATGTTCTCTCTGTGCATGTGTGGGTTTTCTCCAGGTACTCCAGTTTCCTCCCACAGACCAAAAACATGCATGTTAGACTGATTGGTAACTCTAAATTGTCCCTAGGTGAGTGAGAGAGTGAATGTTTGTCTCGTTTGTCTCCACGTGTCCCTGTGATGGACAGGACACCTGTCCAGAGTGTCCCCCGCCTCTCATAGTGACTGCTGGATATGGACACCAGTGACCCCTGACCTGGAAAGGAAGAAGCGGGTAAAGATGATGGATGATGAGCATTTAGTCCAATAGATAGAGGTCAGTTCTGTAAAAGTGTATCCTGTGTTGGACACAAGTCCTCACATTTATTTATCTTATATTGCAGCATCATTTAATCTGATTGGTTTCAATTATCAGATCATTTAGTCTGGAGCAAATAGACTGAAGGCCTAAAGAAATCTTAGTCATTTGTTTTTGCAGATCACTTTGCATGGCTAAGACTTTTGTTTTTTTAAACATTTACCCTACAACTTTACATTTTGGCCCAAACTCACAACTCGGGTGGCTACAGGTGTCACAAAGACCACGGTGCTTCAGAGTCAGAGCAGTTTGGAGCGGAAACGTTGGGACTTCTCTGGACCTCTACCGTATGAACTTATTTTGAAATTACTCCACAAATATATTATAGTAAACTGAATATTAATGTTTCTAAAGGGACGGTGGTGCAGTTGGTTAGGTCCGTCGCCTCACATGGTCACAGGTTCAAAACCCAGCTGAGACACTTCTGTGTAGCCTGGATGGTCTCGCTGTACATGTGGGGTTCCTCTTCCAGTCCAAAAACACGTTTGTTAGATTATTTAGCAGCTTTAAACTGGAGTGACGCTCATCTGTCTCCACGTGTCCCTGGGATGGACTGGTGACGGGTCCGGTGTGCACCCCCACCTCGCCCAGTGGGGATGCACACCCGCTGGAGACAGGCCCCGACAGGAACGAGGAAACCGAGTGGATAAACAGATGAAGTGCCTCTTTTCTGATGAAGATTACCTCTTGATTGCACAACAATAAATAAATTATAGACATTTCACTTCTTGTTTACTTGTAGCTTGGCACAACAGTTTCCTGTCTGGATGTGTCCATTTATTATTCCCAGTTTAAACCTCCAATCATGCAGTTGTTCTAGATGTGACGGTCTGGATATATCAAATAAGAAAATGTGCATACTTGAGTTCCATACATAAAGTTACAGATGGTTAAAGCTTCATATTATCTTCTGTTAGATTTAATTAGATATTTCCCTCCTTCGTACAGAGCAGCCACTGGAAGAGACTGCTGGTTTATTTCTATACTGGGAGTCTGCAGATTTTGTTCACAACTGAACTTAAATTCTCCTAAAAATGTGGTTAATTGTTGCTGAAGTGAGGATTTGCCCTTTAATAGGATACATGAGTGTGAAAAGTATTTTGCGTGTCTGGTGTTGATGTGTTCGTCCTGATATTTGTAGCTGGATGTACTGAGTGAAGAAGAAATGAGCAGAGCAGTAATGTAGCTTCATTTCATTTCAGTTTCTGAATATAAAATGTCTATGTACAGTACATTAAAAACAAGACCATTCAGATCTGTTCAAGAAGAAAGCAGAAGCAGATTTCTAACAAGAAGCTTTGATTTGTTTGGTGGGCTAACACGGCCGGCTTCTTGAAGACGTACAAGCCCTTCCTGAAGGACAGCGCTTACGTACGGAGGCAGTGAACAAACACAAACGCCCGCCTGCGACATGACAGCCACACTGTCCATGATTCGTTTAAAGTGTTTCGAAGCTAAAAACAACAAAAAGGTCTTATTTATTCAAAGAATCTCTGTCTTTGTAGAGTTTCTGATGCGTCGACCCAGATGAGCTGAAACAGAAAGACCTGCTCTGCTCTCGTCTCATCCGTCACACGTCGCTCGGTCTCTGGTTGAAGGATCCGGGCGTTCCAGCCGGACGCTCTCTGCGTGCGACACTGAAAGGCCTCACGTGCATCTGTGCACAGACGGACCAGGCGGAGTGATGTCAGCAGACTCCGTCTACTGGCCGCTCTTCTTGTCTTTCTGGAAACTGAAGCTGGTCCTGCGGTTCAGTTTCTTTTGCTTTTGGGCGAAGTAGTCGGCTCGAGAGGTGCTGGCCCGGGACTCCAGGATGTAGTTCACCTACAGACGAACAAAGTAAAGACAGTGCCATGTGTTGTCATCGCTGTGTGTTTCTACACAATGTTGTTCTGCATTTAACGCATCACACCTGACATACACCCAGGTGGAGCAGCGGGCAGCTACGTAAGCACCTGGGGAGCAGTTAGGGATTAGGAGTCTTGCTCAAGGACACCACGACATGTGGGAATGATGGGGAGTTGAACCTGTGACTTTCTGGTCCCAAGTGAGCTGCCCTGCCACTGCACCACAGCCACCCTATGATGCATTCAAGGCCTGATGTGCAGGTTCATTGGAGGCTTTTTCTCTGTGGTCACTTTGAAGTGAGGTTCAGCAAAAGAACTGAACAATTAATATCTTACCTGTTGAAGATACGTAGCTCTGTTTGGAGAAACGGTTCAAGTTTGACAGGACTGACGAGCTAACAGCTAGTCTGAATGCAACCAACACTCATGTGCACTTCAGAGAACTTTATAGCACTTTTAATTCTCAGTAACTTATTTACACATCAGTGTGTGAGCTGCTGCTGTAGCATTCTGTTCAGCCCGGAGTCGGTTCCAGCAGTAGATCCAAATTATAATCCTGCTAAACTTGTGTGATGCTAACCGGCCAGTGGTGCGAAAAAATAAACACTAGCCTTTGAAAGAGGCACTTTCAAATCAAAGTTAGCCCTTTAGACTTGAGCTGGGATGAAACTCACCTTCAGAACTATTTCATTGACAGTAGCAGCATCAGACTCAAAGTAGAGGGGCTTGTAGTCGTGGTTGCTCAGATAGGTGAGCTTAAATATTGCATGGCCTGAAGGACAGAGAAACATGTTTAATGCTGAATAACATAAAAACATCAACACTTTTCGTTTGCACAGATTCTAATGTTGTATTGTGATGTAAAGGGTAAACATTAAAGGTAATAAATCCCATACAACTCAATAAAAAACACATTAGATTTTTATGGGATGAAAACATTTGCTAAGCTGCATATCACAAACATTCATTGCTTAGTCCTCATTCAGTGTCGAGTTGACTCGGTCTGTGTCTGAATGAGTGAAACCATCAGTTAAGGAGGACAGGATTTATTCTGCTGACAGTCTCGTGATGCAGGAAGCAGGTCACTTACTGGGACTTCTCTCCTCTACCAGGTCACAGGCGCAGAGGTGGTCTGAGTCGATGGAGATGGGCTTCTGTCGAATCCAGAACTTGGTGCTGGCCTTCTGACTGGTCACGGGATCGATTTCCACTTTCTCCCCTGAAACACCTGAAAAGAGCATCTGCTCTCTGAGACGATCACTCAGCATCATCACACGCTGGCTGCGTGTGAGCAGCCCACACTCACAACTATACTTACAAAGACAACAATATAACTGTGAAACAATATGTTGTTGCTTGTTGACAAACAAATCATAGCAGGTAAAAGTGGTACAGCATTTCAAGAAAACAAACTTTCCTGAGTTTTCTGGAGTAAATCCTGAAACTCCAGGAGATATTTCAGCCACGTGAAACACTCAGAATGAAGCGTCTTATGTGGCAGAGATGACAGGAAGTAAACTGTGTAGACTGAGTAACAATCATCCCTAATCATTATTTATATTGTGTAACATCAGGTAATAAAAAGCCACCATGGTCAATCAGTGAGGAAACCTATATGCACTAGAAGCAGAACATGGACTCAGTGATACTACAATACTAGCACTGATACAAATATTTTTCATCAGCAGGTCAGTCAAATTCCTGGAGTTTTCACAGATTTTTCAGAAATTTCCTCTTCTCCCTGTCTGGAAAATGTGAAAGTCGTTTTCCAGTTTTCCCCTGATTTCCAGAGTGGCTGGGAACTGTTCTGAAAGTATTCAGACCTTGTGTCACGACAAAGTGTTCCAGTTCTGTTCTGTCTGCACAAGGTCTGGTTTGTGGTGTGACAGAGGGGGACCTGAGCTGTGACCTCACAGAACGGAGACCTTCTGAGTAAAGACACAGAACAGACCTGGAGGAGGACAACCCAGAGCGTGAGCACGAACCAGACTGAAACAGTGGACTCCATCTGCTCAAAGCCTGGAACAACAGATACTTTCTGGATCTGGATAGGTTTACAGATAGAAACAATTCATGCTCTAAAAAAGGTATAAAGTGGGCCAGTTATCCCTTTTGGGAATTCCTACAAATGTTTTATTTGCTACAAATCTCCCAAGTTCCTAAAGTGGGGGCACAAACAACAAGGCGCTACATGAAATCTTTAAAAGAGCTTCTCGTTTTCCATAAGGTGCTCTGATGTAAGACAACGTGAATCTGACTCAAACCCCTGTAAATAATACATGATCAATAAGTGAAGGTGTTGCCCCCTTGATAAGACGACACCAGCCCTGGGGGCAGAACGTACCCAGCTGGACATCAGTGGTGAAGCGCAGCTTGTGGATCATGCTGATCTTGAAGGACTTGTAGTGGTGGCTGCTCAACATGTCCTGGACCGATGTGATGTCGATGGGAGGGTCCTCCTCTGAGCTCTCTTCTCCTCTGGAGCCTGAAGACAACAGAAAAACAAAGACATAAGGGATGTGATCCAAACTCAAGCATCAGACTGAAGTTCTGATCCAGAGGTTGTTACTAATCGATATCAGTAACGATGTCACTGAGTAAACTTTAGTTTCATGTTAGCTGTGGTGTGACAAGACCCTGACAATGAAAGTTAACTTGTCCATGCTAGAGGAAAGTTAAAAGAGAAGAAAGGTATTTCCAGCAAACGGCCACAAGAGACAGTGTTGACAGAGGCAGGGCCTAAATGTATCTCTGTGGATCATCACCCTAACTGTTCAGCAGGTTTTCCTTCAAAAGAACAAGAGTACAGCACATCGTTCACCTGTCGACAAACTCTTATCTATAGCCACGGTTGGACAAGCGAAGGCCTTGTATAACCTTGAACCTTGATTTGTGACCTTGAGCGTAGTGCTGGGTGATGGACAGATTATATAACATGCTGTCTAGTAGTGGTACAAAAGTGCATGAAGTTTCATTAAATTATCTTGAGCGGCTCAGAAGTTATGACCCCGACAAGCAAAGACCTCCCTTTAACTTTGACCTTGATTTAAGACCTTGACCTCATAACTGGAGTGATGAACAGTGTACGTGACACTCCGCCTGGTGATGATGCATATGTAAATGAAGATGTGTTAAATTAGCACTGCTAACCGAGTCACACTGTAGATGTTTTTATTTTTCACCTTTGGCGCCTTGTTTTGTACCATGTTAGTAGTATTTTTAAATATGCTTTTTAGTATTTTAGTAGTATTTTTACAGGGTTTTTTGGTATTTTTGTAGTAGTTTTTAATATGTTTTTAATATTTCAGTAGTATTTTTTGATGTTTTTTTGGTATTTTAGTAATATTTTTTCATGTTTTTAGTATGTTAGTAGTATTTTTAATGTTTTTTTTAGTATGTTAGTAGTATTTTTAAATATGCTTTTTAGTATTTTAGTAGTAATTTTTACAGTTTTTTTTGTATTTTTGGAGTAGTTTTTAATATGAGCATGCATCAGGATAGTTTTTAATATGTTTTTAATATTTCAGTAGTATTTTTTTTTTATGTTTTTTTGGTGTTTTAGCATTATTATTTTATGTTTTTAGTATGTTAGTAGTATTTTTAACGTTTTTTTTAGTATGTTAGTAGTATTTTTAAATATGCTTTTTAGTATTTTAGGAATGTTTTTTAATATGTTTTTAGTATGTTAGTAGTATTTTTTAATGTGCTGGTGAAGATTCTCAGTCATCCAGGACATGATGAATTCCAAAAGCGTTTAATAAAAAAACAACTGGACTTTATTTGTAACAGAAAACGTTTCGCTCCTCATCCGAGGAGCTTTCTCAATTCAAAGAGCAGAGAGTGAGAGATACAGGTTATAAGGCTGAGTGAGATAAGACACACACACATATGTAGAATGAAGCATTGTATGTAGCATTTCTACATATGTGTGTGTGTCTTATCTGAGGAGCTAAACGTCTTCTGTTACAAATAAAGTCCAGTTGTTTTTGTATTGAACGCTTACTGAAAATTTAATGTGTTTTTTAGTATGTTAGTAGTATTTTTATATGTTTTTAGTATGGTAGTAGTATTTTTAATATGTTTTTAGTATGGTAGTAGTATTTTTTAATATGTTTTTAGTATGGTAGTAGTATTTTTTATATGTTTTTAGTATGGTAGTAGTATTTTTATATGTTTTTAGTATGTTAGTAGTATTTTTAATATGTTTTTAGTATGTTAGTAGTATTTTTTTAATATGTTTTTAGTATGTTAGTAGTATTTTTTATATGTTTTAGTATGTTAGTAGTATTTTTTTATATGTTTTTAGTATGTTAGTAGTATTTTTTATATGTTTTTAGTATGTTAGTAGTATTTTAATATGTTTTTAGTATGTTAGTAGTATTTTTAATGTTTTTAGTATGTTGGTAGTATTTTAACATGTTTTTAGTATGTCAGTAGTATTTTTAATATGTTTTAGTATGTTAGTAGTATTTTAATATGTTTTTAGTATGTTAGTAGTATTTTTTTATGTTTTTAGTATGTTAATAGTATTTTTAATATGTTTTTAGTATGTTAGTAGTATGTTTTAATATGTTTTTAGTATGTTAATATTTTTTTTTAGTATGTTAGTAGTAATTTTTTTTATTTTTATTTTAGTAGTATTTTTTAATATGTTTTTTAGTATATTAGTATTTTTAATATTTTTTTAGTATGTTAGTAGTATTTTTGAATACGTTTTTCTTAGAATGTTAGTAGTATATGTTTTAGTATGTTTTTAGTATTTTTGCTGCATGATTTGATATTTCTTTTTGTTGTTGTTTTCTGTTTTTTTGGCGAGTCGAGATGGTTCTTCTCATCCTAAGCATTTCATTACATTGTTGACCTTGTGTTGATTTTGAACATGACAAATAAATCTAGCCTGACCTTATCTTGAGTGGATCAGACGTTATACAATAGATGGGAGAAGAGAACGTTTACAGACGTACATACTTTTCACCATAATATGTCCGCCTTTAGACAGACGTATAAAAAGTGCAGTACTTTAAATTTGAGGCTTTCAGTATCACCCCCCCCCCCCCCCCCACTTTTTTCAAGTTGTTATTGCTTCACAGCACCGTCACTGACCAGAGGAGCTGAGACCAATTGTTGAGAGCCCCCCAGGTGTAAAGACTACTCACTGTTTTCTCTGACCAAACAAAACTCCATGGTGTTCTGGTTTTCTAGCGTCGCGTCCAGGTCAACTGCCACATTCGGCTGCATCTGCTTCTCCAGCCGATACATGGGCCCTGTTGGAGAACGATAAGGTTCCACTTCTTACACACAGACACAGCTGTAGGTTAGAGAAGTGGTCTTCAGACACCTGAGGAGGAGGTTTGGGCTCAGAGCTTTAAAACATGCTGCAAGAAGATCGTAATTTGTTAGTGGGTTTACAATATTTCCCTCTTTTTTTAAAAGAACCACCAATTGACAATGCCTTCATACAACACTGATCTATTGTGTTTCTCCTGCAGGAGCACCTTTCTGTGAATGCACTCTGACGAAACGACGACACAAACGAGCAAAACTTCAAAAGAAAATAGACGAACAACGTTCTGTATGAGGAGTTATTTACATGTTAATTAGGTCATAAATCAACGCACAGCTGGTGTTAAACAACGTCCTTTATAAGACACCGGAGAAGCTTCCAATTATGTAGCAACACTGCAGTCTTATCGAACATATGCTGAACCAAGAAAACCACCAGGAAGATAAATCTGATGGGCTTTTTGGTTCAAGAAGTTGACCGAAGAAAAGAGTGCAGGAAAAAGATCGAGCACTTGATCTTTTGAAGCTCTGTTAGGAAATGATCAAAGTGATGATACCTGAGCCTTTCTGAGAAGCTTTCCTCTTCATTAGTGCCTTCTGAAGAATTTCCTTCATAGTTACCTTCAGACTGTCCACGGAGATTAGAGAGAATCCATGAGCAGAATTTCTAAAAGGAAAAAAAACGAAAAAGGTTACGGACAGGGACCGTTCTGAAGAAATATTAATGTGGGCTCTAATTCAAAATACTAATCTGACATTAAGTTCATTCCTGTTGTTGTGTTTGCACACATTCCCAGGCTGCCAGTCATGAGACGTGGCAGCGTGGACGAATGCAGACCAAGTCCTTATAAACTGAAGAATCCCAGACTGGGATGAAGCTACATCCTTCAATTTTTTATAAGGTGTTCCAATAAACAGCTCAAATATGCACCATCCTTTCTTAAATGCAGTAAAACATCAGATAAAAGATGATTCATGAGTAAAGTATTAGTGATATTAAAAAGATTTGTTTAATTACATGTAGATATCTGCCATGTATCGGCATTCATATTTCAATGACTTCAATAAAAGTAATAAAACACTAAATATAAGTTAATACAACTAAAAGATAATACAGTCCTTTAATTCCAACAACACTTGTAGCTGCAAAACATGATTAGTAATTTTCTGTAGCCACTGTAAAACTTATCACTTTGCTGTTATTGTTATTAGGAGTAACCTCCTGGAGAGGAGGGTCCGTCCGATAGTCGAACCTCGGATTCAGGAGGAGCAGTGCGGTTTTCGTCCTGGTCGTGGAACACTGGACCAGCTCTACACTCTCAGCAGGATCCTGGAGGGTGCGTGGGAGTTTGCTCAACCAGTCTACATGTGCTTTGTGGACTTGGAGAAGGTATTTGACCGCGTCCCTCAGGGAACCCTGTGGGGGGTACTCTGAGAGTATGGGGTACCGGGCCCTTTGATATGGGCTGTTAGGTCCCTGTATGACCGGTGTCAGAGCTTGGTCCACATTGCCGCAGTAAGTCGGGCTCGTTCCCAGTGAGAATTGGACTCCGCCAAGGTTGCCCTTTGTCACCGATTCTGTTCATAACGTTTATGGACAGAATTTCTAGGCGCAGCCGAGGTGTTGAGGGGATCCGTTTTGGTGGCCTTAGGATTGCGTCTCTGCTTTTTGCAGATGATGTGGTCCTATTGGCTTCATCAGATCGTGATCTACAGCTTTTGCTGGAGCGGTTCGCAGCCGAGTGCGACACGGCTGAGGATGAGGATCAGTTCCTCCAAATCCGAGGCCATGGTCTTGAGCCGGAAAAGGGTAGAGTGCCCTCTCCAAGTCGGGGAGGAGGTCCTGCCCCAAGTGGAGGAGTTCAAGTATCTTGGGGTCTTGTTCACGAATGAGGGAAAAATGGAGCGTGAGATCGATAGGCGGATAGGTGCAGCGTCTGCAGTGAAGCGGGTGTTGTACCGGTCTGTCGTGGTGAAGAGAGAGCTGAGTCAAAAGGCGAACCTCTCCATTTCCCAAATGATCTACGTTCCCACCCTCATCTATGGTCACGAGCTTTGGGCTGTGACCGAAAGAACGAGATCTCGGATACAAGCGGCCGAAATGAGTTTTCTCCGCAGGGTGTCTGGGCTCTCCCTTAGAGACAGGGTGAGAAGCTCGATCATCCAGGAGGGGCTCAGAGTAGAGCCGCTGCTTCTCCACATCGAGAGGAGCCAGTTGAGGTGGTTCTGGTTAGGATGCCTCCTGGACGCCTCCCTGGTGAGGTGTTCCAGACACGTCCCACCAGGAGGAGACCCAGAGGAAGACCCAGGACACGCTGGAGGGACTATGTTTCTCAGCTGACCTGGGAACGCCTCGGGATTCCCCCGTAGGAACTGGCCCAAGTGGCTGGGGAGAGGGAAGTCTGATCCGGTACTGATGTTGGTTAATGGAAAAATAAGTTTTAATATATTGGTACATCGGATATACCCGATAAGCGGAAGAAAATGGCTGTTAATGTTATTTATTTTAACTTACATTCTGACAAACAGCGACTGTCTAGAAGTGAGGCCTGGTGACGAATATTTCTCCACCAATGCCAAAGTGCTGAAGCCAAACTTGTGGATTGGCTCGTTTGAGTCCAGCGGTGGGAAGTCGGTGTCCACCTCACCATCGTCCTCAGCGATGTGCAGGCAGTAGGCGTCCACGTTCTCACTGTGGACAGGAGCAGAGGGACACAAAACAACAGGGTTACACAAGTTTTACAGAACGGTGAAAGCCCTAAAAAACACCCGAGCACATCAGGAGGGTTGAACACGGCGTCGCTGATCAGCTGAGGGACCGCGGAGTTTGTGGATAAAAAGGTGCGTTTTAAATCCCTTACACACTGACGCTATGACCACTACCACTGTCAGTTTAGAGATGTACCAACAGTGGGAAGTGCGTCAGTAGAGAGGACTGTGTTTGTGCTCACTTGAGTTTGGGTTCTCGTCCCTCGCTTGTGTACTGCCAACAAATAAGCCCAATCAGGTCGTGAACACGGGCGTTTGCGATGGTGACTACTGTCATCGGATGCACTTTCTCCTGAGTCATCTGCATAGAGAGGTACACGTCTATCTTCTTTGTAGCCGTTGTGCCAATGTGACCCTAAAAGGCAACGGAGAAAGTTAGTACTTCCAGCTAAATAAAGAGCAAAACGTTAAAATTTTTCATTTTCAGGTTCCCATTTAGCGCAACACAAACAGCTCCGTCTGCCTGCAACACACATTCATTTATTATCGTGGTTCAGGGGGGCTAATCTTTTGAGCAAACGGCACCTTACCAACAGAAGAGTGGAGACAGAGCACTGAGAATAAATTCTTAATGGGCACAAAACGTATAATAACACAAAAACGGCCCTGAAAGTAGCTCACTGACAGAAAGCAGCCAGTTTGAGTTGAGACGAAACTAAAACAAGTCGGTCGATTCTCTCCTCACGTCAGAGGGACAACTCACCTTGCCATCAAATTTGGAGTATTCGTTAAAAGGGTTGTTGAGCTGCTGAGGACACTGTTCCAGGCGCAGCGACAAAGTCGATTTAGCCCCTGCTGTCCGCGGCCTGTCCTTAAAGTCCCGCTTTTCAAACAGACAGCCCAGATCCTCCACTGGACAGAACACGAAAACACAGCATACAGAAGAGAACGAAAACATGTCTACTTTAAGTACAATGATGTGTTTATTATATAAAGCTTAAGAAAATAGTAGTATTATTTAAAACTTCTGAATATTTAAAACATAAAACACAAGATGGTTAACTTGGTCTTTGCTGTAGAACTGTCACAGCTCTACTAACTGGATTATTTAGGATAAAATTACAGAACAAAAACTTGTCTTACTGAAAGTAATAAACTGTATAAAATATGTTTTACCACTTAATGTCAGCCATATTGTCTTATTGTTCTTTCTGAAGGATGTGTCGGAGACAAATTAAATCTAGCAACATTATCATATTTACTGGATAACTTTTAATTTGATTTTTCTGAATTATTTCAAGCTAACAGTTATATTCAGGGATGCACGATATTGGATTTTTGGCTGATATATGTTAAAATGTATTTGTCCGATAACCGATACCAATACCGATATATATATATATATATATATATATATATATATATTTTTTTTTTTTTTTATTTTTTTTTTTTTTCCCTAAACCTACTTACAGAGACTACATAACTTTCTCTGCTGTGGAATTAAAATGCTACATTATTCTGCACGGTCTTTGTCAGTTTGGTCTGCTACCAAATGCAGATGCCAAAAAGGGGCTGAAAATGATGCAACACTTCAACTTGGACTATGTTTAATGTCAAATTTATTTATGACATTTACTCTGTAACACTTCTTAAGACGGGTAATTGGGTTCGAAGTGTTGAAGGACTTCGGTTTTGCTCCTCCTTGCATCACTGACGCTGAGCAGTCATTACAAATAGCAGTTCTATGTTTCCAACAATTTTTAAAAACGTCCACACCGCCGACATTTTCACTTCTTCCTCTCCTGCCGTGATCAGATCAGGTGGCGTGCATGATGTCATAACGTTGTGCTGGCGCTGCAGGCATCCTTGGCACTGGGTTGTCATACAGAAACAGTGTAATATCTATATATATATATATATATATATATAGATATATATTTAAAGCAGTGTCTTTATATTGGCGAGTTATTTTGATGGAATAGCCGATGTCCGATATTTAACTTTATTGCCAGTATCGTCCGATATCTACAACATGCCGATAATATCGTGCATCCCTATATTTCTAAACTACAGGGTGGCTCAAGGTTATTTTAATTTTTTAACCTCTGTTTAACCAGACAGGAACAGATTTAGAACAGTTTCTTATTCAATAAATATAAAACTAAAACACGTCTTTCTCCAGACTCTGTAACACATTCTCATGAGTTTTTAATTTTGTTTTTTAAATCACACACCGAGTGAAATATTCTGCAACATTATTCCAGTTTGACTAAATGTGTAGACTTGTGAAAACATTTGGCCCATACCAGACTGGGAGGATGACCGCTCCTTCCACTGAACATTTTTACATTTTATTTGGTTTTGTCGCTCTTTCCTGAGTCTTTCCAGTCTTTGGGCTGGAACAAGAAAAATAAAATAAAAAAACAGATATTTTATATTTTGTTATATGCAAACAGCTCAGAGTTGCAGAAAAATAATCAATGAGATGTAAAATTCATTTTCTGTATTCATAGTCAACTTCAAAAATAAATCAAAATAGAGTAAAACTTGATTTATATTTCCTCCATGACCCCCAATTTTTTTTGCTACAGCACAATTTTATATGTTACCATTATAAGTAGAAAGTAAACATGAATTCAAAAATAAACAAAATATAACATTTGTGGAAACTCCTGGTTCAGTTGAGCTTAAACGAGACTGGGTGGTAAAGTTTGATATAAAGTAAGCGATGCATACAAACATTGTTTAAAGGTGGCAGCATCTTCATTTCATTTTATAACCTGAAACAAAACACTTTACTGTAAAGTTATTTGTTTAACCCACACGTCTTACCAGCAGCCCCGGGTTTCTCACGGCTGTCATGTCGGGGTCCTGATGACACAGCCACCACAGGTCAGAATCCAAACTCAAGTCTGAAAGTCTCAGAGGATTGCAGTTGTCTACCCAAACCCCAGAACCTCCAGCATCACGCCACCAAATGCTTAACAAATATCCAGAGAGCCAAAAGGAAACATATTGTCTACCTTTGGACTCCCTCATAATAAAACCACGATCACCTTAAAAGCCTGAAAGTAGTATAAGCTGATTCGTGATCTGTTTATTTGATTTTAACTCCGTGTTTATTCCCTTTAACCACAAATCAAACCAGAGATGCACCGATCTGTCAGTAGGTGAGACAACCGGCCAGTCGCAGTCACAACGTATCAATGTCATATTTACCTGCATGAACGAGAGGTAATTCACTTCATGCACATGATTACAGGAAAATATACATTATCATCGCTTTGAAAGGCTTTTCAAAGCGATGACAGTCTGAGTTTAAAAATAAATCCCTCAAAGTTCAAAACACTTGTAAGGCTAAAACTAGTTGAGAAAAAACTACTGGAGCAAGTCGTGGTGTTGAAGATCAATTTGAACACTGCTATCGGTGCATCTCTACATCGTCATAAACACCCACCTCCCCACTTAAATAATTCACTCCTCTGATGATACACAATGATTTGATGTTGATTCAAAATACTGACAGAATTTAAGGGATTTAGCATCATGGGGAGATCAAGTATTTTGATGAGGAATACAAATAAATTATGGATAAATGCATTCTGCCTTATGTAGAATAATCCTCAAACAGTAGATATTTTTAACCCAAAGTTACGGGATTGGCTGTAAATCACACAAAATAATTTGTGAACTGAAGAAAAATTTGTTTTTTTTGATTTTGTGGATTAAGACAAAGCAAATAAATATACAGAAACTTGCTCTTTATTCTACTAAATAAAACGTCAGACATCATGTTTATCAGTAATATTAACCCTCAGGTCTCATGGGAAAACAAAACAATAAGCCATGCACTTATCTGTGTTTTTATTTATTTATTTATTTGGTGCTGCCAATTATAACTTTATTTTTCGGACAAAGTCAAATAGTCTTTCTAGTTTTTTTTTTATATTTTGACAGAATTTTTTCCAGTTCTCCTGCAACCTCACAGTAACGTTACTGCTCTAGTGTTCCTTAGGGGGAAATCATCCATCCATCATCTTTATCCACTTCTTTCATTTTGGGACGCGGAGGACACTGGTGCTCATGTCCAGCAGTCACTGTGTGAGAGGCAGGGGACACCCTGGACAGGTCTCCTGTCCATCACAGAGACACAAAGAGACAAACAACCATTCACTCTCACTCACACCTAGAGACAATTTAGAGTCACCAATCAGCCTAACATGCATGTTTTTGGTCTGTGGGAGGAAACTGGAGTACCTGGAGAAAACCCACGCATGCACAGAGAGAACATGCAAACTGCACCCAGGTAGGTCCCCGGCCAGGATTCGATCCGACAACCTTCTCATTGAGAGGCAACAGCTCCATCAATTGAGCCACGATGCCTCCAGGGGAAACTCTACCATAGGGAAATCCCATTATAAATGCATTTTCTAATCAAATAATTATTATATCATAAAATAATGCATTCCGCACAGTAAAGTTTTATTTTACCTCCATTTCTATACTTTTGCTGTTTATATTAACCCACTCTGTGGTACTTTGCTTATTGAAAACCTCTGTAAAAGTTTACCCCAGAAAGATGTACGTCTTTTCAAGGCTGGACGTTGATGTCCAGTTCCTCTACTCATCCAGCTAAATTGTTTCAGTTTGGATTTAAAGTGTGAAAACATGCTTGAATGTTGAACAAGTGAACATTTAGTAGAAAAATGATGTTCAGCATGCATGCGGGCTGAAGAACCAGTCACTCCACAGCTCAGAGCGGATTACTTCACTAAAATGGGGACGTCAACAGAGGATGCACTGGTCTGCAGAGGCTCGAGAATATATCCCAGTCAGTAAAAGCAGACAGAACAGAATCTGGCATTGTGCCCGAGTAGGGTTGTAGGGGGGCAGAACCTCCATGCCAGCTGCCCCATCTGGAGGGTTCGACAGGCAGGAGGGTCTTCATAAAACTTCAACTGGAATGTGAAAAATATTTTCAAAAACAAAAATTCATTTTGGGCATAAGGGAATTAAAATTTTTTTTTCAGTATTAAAAAAAGGGAGTTTTTTTAAACTAAAGACCCTGAAAGAATTAAAATAAATTTGATATTTCATTTCAGGCTGAGGTTTTATGCAGTTTTATATGGTGGTTAATTTTTCCCCTAAGGAACACAAATTGTCAAAAAGTTAAAGGACTTCTGAGGGTTAACTTTACGTTACAACAAGAGCTGTGCTTCTGAGTTTGGACAAAAAAAAGTTTGACAAGTCCAGAGGGAAACGCTTGTCAGACTCCACAGCTGAAAAACAACTTCAATGTCAAACTGAAACTTTTAATAATCTGATTAAAAATGTTGAAGCAGCAAGCGACCTTTGTACACTGTGACAAACGGTTGGGGTTATATTTCTATTATTATAAGATATTATTATTATTTACTTCCTGATTTTTGACCCAGCTAAACATTTTTGAGATGCTAACAAGTTGAGCACAAAATGTAAATAGTTAGGTTGATTCGCAGTAACAATGTTTCTTGGCAGTAAATTCTGCACATTTCCCCTTTAATCGTGCCACATTTGGTTGAAAACTGCTTTATGGGTCCAAATCTATTTTAGAAACATTCCCTGGTCTGATACGTCCACTCTAGAGGTGGTCGTGGTGAAAATAAAACTAGATTTGCAGTTTCTGAAATAGTCAGAGCAGCCCGTCTGCCATGCTCAAAGGCACTTAAATCTCCTTTCTTCCCTATTTTGAACTTCAGCAAGTCGTCTTCGCCACGTCTTGAATCTTGACGCTCAAAGGCACAGATTTGCTGCCATGTGTCAAAGTTGTAACCTTACATGTGATCAGCTCCACAGAAATCAATGAAAGTCACAGTCGTCAACAACCTAACCCCAAGCTTCTTCTCACTGCAGCTGCAACTTTCAACGAGTTGTATTTGAGTCTTTACAAACAAAATAAAAAACGCTGGTCCAGATTAGACACACAACCCACTTGATCTACAGAGGAACAGGCTTTCTGGCTGTCTTTGCCTTACTGACCAGTACAAGACGTGCGTGACGAAAAGCCTGCCCTAAAAAAACACCCAGAGGCGGAAAAAGAGCTCACCTGTGTTGGAGCGCCGACGGATGCCAAAGTCCCAGCTAGAGGTGATGTCCATAGACTGAGAGAGGTCACAGGGATGACTGTCCACCACGTTACCACCGTCTTCTATAACACAGCTCGACCCGGATGATTCACAGCTGCTGCTGCTGCCAGGCACCAGAGAAGGCTGGCTCTTCTCCAGGTCCACATCCTGGTCTATTAATACCATCTCGCACATCCCTGTATCATCACTGGTCACGTGAGACTGTCTGATGTGAGCCAGAATAATGGCTGGATTGTCTAGGAAAGCCATTTCCTCTGCGTCGCAAAGTGCAGCTTCAGAGGTTTTTGCGTTTGTTTACTTTGTAGCCTGTTTTTGAAAAGATCCCCTTCTTTTAGCTTCTGCTGAGCTGTGTTAATGCAGTGACTGATGACAAGTGGAGGGGCATCTTCTTTTCTTTCTCGACTATTCCCTCGGCTCCATCGTAGTAGTGTCAGCACCTGATAAGGAGTAGGAAGACTGTTAATACATAAACTAGGAGAGTTAAATTAATTAACACGAGAACCATTATTGTCTTTGTTCATAATTTACATTTCTGGTCTTCACATGAAAGGTCCAAGCTTATAAACCTTCCTGAAAGTTCAAAAAAGGAAGTGCTTGTCTTACTTTAAAGTTACTTTTGGAATCTAGAACTAAATCATGTAAAATTGTGATTTTTTTGTTGTTGTTGTTGTTGAACTATGACAAAATGAACTACCCAAATATCCATACTCTGACTGTAATTTTGTTTTTCAATTCAATTTTCAAGTTTTTTTATCAATATATTTTCCATGTATTGCTTAAGATGTAGCATAATGTGTCCCAAACATTTTGTATTAACCTTTTTTTCTTCCCTTGTCCTGTCCGGCATTGTGACACTTAGAATTATTGTCTGAGTGTCAAAGTGATGCCCAACAGATTTACTTTCACAAGCAGAGTATTATGGCTGGCCTTAATGCTCCACTTGATATATAAATTAAATTTTATTAGAATTTGTTTTGGGCTTGTTTCAGATGTAATGGACATGGGGATGAAAAACAAAGAAGAAAAGTGAGAGAAGAGTTAAACAGTAAAGAAGGAGAAAGGAATAGAGGAGAGAGAGAGAGGGATGAAGAGAACACAAATCAACATCATTGAAGTCTGACTGTAGACCTGTGGGAAGAAAAAAAACAAGACAAAACTGAGAAACCACAAGAACAAACAACTTATATAATGATACTTATATCATTAGAAAGTATTTTATACAGTATATGGTAATACAAGATATATTTAGTGGCCACCACAACCCAACTGAGTGTGAATCTGATAAACACATGAATCTAAACACCTGTGTGAGCGTTTGTCACTATAAGGTTTCTCCATAAAAATGTTTAAAAGTGGATGTGGGGACCCACAGACCCGTCCCCACAGGACACGAAGGTAACACAGAGAAGACCGGAACCACAGACACACAGCAGCCTCCAAGACCGGAAATCTGGGAGTCCCCCAACAGGGACACCCGCACCCCCCAGAGAGAGAAGCAAAGGGAAGCCCTGAGCGATCCCCAGCAACCACAAGGCAGAAACCCCAGGAGGCTGCAGCGACGAGTCCACACGCCCCGCCGGCAACCCGCCCCTGCAGAGTAGATCTGGTCATGGACACCAAGCCCCAAGTTCCGAGGTCATACCACCCCCCAACAGAGGCCCGACAGAGTCAGGGCACCCAGGCCCAGGCAGGCAGCCACCAGGGCGGGCCCGCACACACCCCACCACCCAGCCCCAGCTGCTGAGAGCCGCCAATGCACTGGTGGCAGGGGGGCCCACCACCAGAGGGGAGTACAACACACCAAATGGGGGGCCAAAACTGATCCAAGAGAGGGGACCAACTAAAACCCAACCTGAGACAAACAGGCACACAGAGACAGCCCGACGGAGACTCTGTCAGACTGTCCATGCACTCCACCCACCCAACAGTGACCGCAAGCTGGCCCCAGGCCAGAGCCAGATCAGCAGGGAGCAGCAGCTGAGGAAGGCCGGCCCAGCGCACCAATGATCAGGCATCCCTACAGCTCCACACCACAGGCACAGAGAAGCCCCGGCATGCCACCCATGCACCCCCCCACACACACAGTACCCCCCACCGCAAATGTCCCATCAGGCTGACCAGCCAGCACCCCGTCAAAGTGAAGCCACGCCCCCGACCACTGCCATGCACCACCAATGACCACACACGCAAAACCACGGCCGACCCCCCGCCAGAACCCTGCAGCAACCCCAGCCAAAGGGCCGGCCACCTCAACCAAGAATCCCGATCAAAGGATCCAAACAATCCAGGGAGAACTGGAGCACTGGCCCCACCCACAATCGCCCCCCAAGTCCCAACACCCACCCACAGCCCAGACTCCAAACAGACAGCCTACCCTCCCTCCCTGCCCCCAACCCCAAATGTCAAACGGAGAATGAGGGTTTAAGGAAAACTGGAAGACCAAACTCCTCCCTCCTCCCACTCAAATAAGATGTTGATGCATGTTGTTATATAGTGCGTTTAAAATGGGGGGGATGAGGCGGCTACCGGCACAGACCCACCCCCTCCCCAGAGAGCAGGCAGTGCCCGTTCACCTCCCCAACCCTTGCCCAGAACCCTAAATGTCTACATGCTACATATGAGAGTGGGCACAGGTCCCAGAGGTGAGAATTATTACACATCCCACCCCCTATATGCCACCATGTGTCCACTCCAGACCCTATATATGCATGTGTCGTGAGAATGTTATATGCGAGTGTCTAGGTTGTTTAATAAAAATGGGGCCCAGGTCTCCACGAACCACGGAGATGGAGGATCCTCCCCGCAGCTCAGTAGTGCACCTGAACCCCAAGGCCCTGCTTGAGTGGTGGTGTGATGGAGTGGATGGAGGAAGACGTCGGGATGGGGAGGAACAACTGAGGTGGCAATGCCCTCCCAGGGGGCCAGCTCCCCCACTGATCCCAATAGGCACCACCATTCTCCGAGTTTCACCAGAGGAGGGAGGCTCCAGTGCATCCATCTAGGAGCAGGAGGCAGCCGCACCACCAGGGACCCAAGCCACGGACTGGCACATAGCCCCGAGGACCGACCAGAACCCGGGCCATCCAGTACCTGGCCATGCCTGTACGCCCAGAATCTATTAGGCCAAACCAAGAGCAGCTGCTACAGCTGTGTGTTGCTCACAATTTAGGTTTAGTTTTTGTTTTTTCGTGAGAATGCTTTTCTATTTTTTTAAGTGTACAATATATTCTAAGAGCTGCTAAAATATGTTTATTGAGGTTAAACAAATATAGTTTGTTAATTGAAAAATGCATATTGATGACTAGAAATAAAAATAACCACATCTCAGCCAATTTAAGCTGCTCTGATCAGTCATAGAAAGCATATACTAGTGAACATCTGTGTTCAATAAAATGTACGTGACACCATGGGAAACCAGAACTTGTTTATTTCTACTAAAATCTACCTCATAATTTAGAAGCTCTGACTGAGCTTCATTAGAGCTACACTGTGCAGTTTGATTATTGTAAGTTAAAATGAGTCAGGGTTTGAACTTCTCTTAAGTTCTGTTTTTTTTATTTATCAAACTCTTATGCATTTACAATAAAGAATCTTTACTGTCCTTGTAGTTTATGCTTGGCAGGCTGCAAAAAAACAGTAGTGAGGTTAACTGGACATCATTAACTTCACACAGACTCTCTCACTGGAACATTTTCATCTTTAAATCACTTCTTGGTCTGCTGCCTTCACACATCTCCTCCTTCATGTCTCTGCGTGAGTGCAGTTGCAGCGTGCGCTCTCAGGACATCATTACCTGCAGTGTTCCCTCAGTGCAGACTGAACTTGGTAAAAGGGCCTTCTCCTACTCTGCTCCTGTTTCCTGGAATATCTTGCAAAAAGATCTGAAGCTCTCGACCTTGACCTCTCTAAGTGGCTTTAAACATCTGTTAAGTTCACAGCAAAAACCAATGCAGACATGTTCCTGTTTTTAGTTTTATACATCGCCTTACATTGTAGCTGTTTGTTTCTTTTATTTTTTTTTAACTCATTTTCTTTCATTTATTTTTTTCCCAGTTCATATGCTTTCTTTTATGATTGTCTATTGTTGTCATCATTCTTTGTTAAAATCAGGTCTCTCTTGTAAAGGAGTCCTCGAGGCTCAATGAGACCAACCTGTATAAATAAAGGTTGAATGAAAAAAGTAAATCAAAGCTGAGAAGGATTGACAGCATAAAATACACAGGTTTTCATTTCTCCAAGAAGTTAAAGATAAAATTACTAAGTATTTAAGCCTATTTGCAATACTAAACTACTAATATAGTAATTAATTCTACATATATTTTTTTAAATATTTCTTTTGTCTTTTTTTAGCAGCTTTTATTGACTATGATTTAAAACGTCTTGCTATTCAGGAAAATGTTTACAAGAAAAAACAAGCCTTTCTTACTTAATGGCGTATTTAGACAAGTTTCAATGCAGCATACTTGGAAAAAACATTAATTTTGTCTTTGCAGAGTTGTTAATGTGTAATAAGACATAAAAGGACAAAACTATTTTAGCAGCTAAACTTTACATGTCGTGTATTTACACTGAACAAAGCGACTGTTGACCACTTCAACACACAAATAAGAGTCACGTGGCTAAAACAAACACGTCCCAAGTTACATTTATAGTGTGAGAAAACGTTTTCTCCTCAGAAACATGGTGGATCCATGTACCATAACAACAACAAACAGAAAACAATACCTTCAAGTCCCATGCTAACTTCAGCTGATGACGAGCTTCAGTGACTAGAAGGTTGTTATTCCTCCGAACAAACTTTCTGTACAAATACTTTCATCTTTCATTTACTTTCTATACGTGTTCATTGTACAAACTGCACGATAAACAACGTTGGCGTTAGCCTCCCAGCTAACCCCAAGTTGCAATATGGTCAGCATTAAACTCCAAAGTAGCATCGACTGCCTGTGACAGCTAAAAGGCAACATTAGTCACAGTTACATTCCTGTTTTACACATATGTCCGCTCAGATAAGTAGACTACAAAGAGCATTAGCGGTTTGTTTTTGTTTGCTAGTTCCTAAGACTGAAGCTAACCTGAAGGCTGGCTGAGCTTTAGCCGCTTTTCATAACCTCAAAAGTACTTACGACAAGGTCCCTCCTCTAACACGACATCCGGTGACACAGAGAAATGTCCACAGCACCGCATCTGACCCATAGAAACTACCAATAAACCCGACAGGTCGTTGTAATGATAAAAATAGTACAAGATCTTTACATTACAAACCGATTTTGTCTGATGTGTTCATCCTACCGGCGGTGAATCATTTCCACTTCCGGGTTAATTTCTTCAGAATAAAAAAAACCGTAGATTTAATGTACTTATAAGAGGATTAAATGTAGAGCGTATGCAAATTACTTTATGAAATCGCCATTAAACTAATTAACCAACAAAGCTGTTGTTACTGGAAATATTTTAAGCCAAAGTAAATTTTCGTTATCGTCCAAATACTTTTATTTTGTAATTTGAGGTACAAACTATTACCTTTTTACAGATTAGCGCATGCTCAAAGCTAGATTTTATTTATTTATTTATGTGCTCAAAGTCAGTATTTTTTTTCAGGATTAACCTGTCTAAATAAAGGTTGAATGAATTTTGCGCTGCTTTGTGGTCACAATGTTTTTCAAAGTGGGGGCCGCGGCCCCCTGGGAGGCCGCCGGGGGTGGTAGGGGGGTCCCTGAAAGCTGTAAGAAAGAAGATAAATAAATAAATAAATAAATAGTAGTAATAATGCCCATTAGGGCAATCTGTATCTGTCATTTCCAGATAAACATGTTTGAGAGAGAGGTTAGATTTATTTTGCTTTGTTCTTCTGGTCAACAGTTTGTTGAAAAGTTGTTTTTTTCAGTGGGAATGTAATAAAACATGTTAGTTAATAACATTTTTATGCTCAGCATCTGTAATAATTAATTGAATCTAGTGAAAAAAACGTTAAAACATTCTAAAAGTTGATGTTTCTTTACATATTTTGTAGAATTGTTTGTGGGTTTGCAAAGGGGGCCTCGGCTCGGCCAGAAGCTAATTAAGTGTGTGTGTGTGTGTGTGTGTGTGTGGGGGGGTAAGGGGGGGGGCATGGAAAAGTTTGGGAAACCCTGGTCTAGTGAACATCACGTCTCTTTACGGTTAGTTGTGCTCTGCAGTCATTCAACACCCGGAAATATTACACGTGGCTACCACAGCGTAAATACCAATAAAAATAATTTAAAAGTATATTTGTAAATAACAGTCACTAAAAAAAAATCTATTGTAAAGGAGCAAAACGATACGGATTAACTCTAACCACAAAAAGATAGGAAACTATTTTGCATGTGCAGTAGCAACTGTAAAGTGGTCGATGTCGTTATGAAACCTTAGGTGAAACCTAAGAGAAAGCAGAAAATATCATAGGTTTACTGCTCAGCAAAACAAAACAAAAAAATGTAGTAGAAGTAAAAGATAAATACCGGTAGATAATAAAATATTGCATACTGCATACTTTGTGTTATTATAGTTGATCATTTATTAAAACATTCAGCTCATTTAGGAGAAAGAAGCATCTTCCTTTATTGGACTTGAAGCCAGAGTGTCTCTGAAACACGCCCAGGAGTTAATTACATTATCTTCAGCAGAAACAGCGGTTGAGGTTTGGCTTACCGCAACTGAACAGGTTGCAGGAAGTGCATATGTGGAATTTCTCTCCAGGCTCATGGTCAAAGCAGCCCGTCAAGTGTGTACAAACTTTGCCCAATCTCTGTTTATTTAAAAAGGAAACTCCTTCTTTGCAGCTCATCAGCTGGCCTATACACCAGCTAAAACACGGATCCATCATCCAGTCACTGCAGCTGTTATGACATAACAGAATGAGGTTTTACACAGAACAGTTGCTGGAAAAATTATTGAAGGTCAGAGGTCATAAAAGAAGGGGTTCCTTAACACTAGTCACTAACTTTAATCCATTCATTTATCATTCCATCCGTCCCTGGGAGAGTGGTGGCGCAGAGGTAAGAGAAGGTGGGCCTGTGATCAGAAGGTCATCGAGTCAACTTCCCAGACCGACAACATCGAAATGTGGGTGGGAAAGGTGAAACACCTGCCTCCACTCTCATTTGCCCGACTCTGGGCCCTTGAGCAAGGCCCTTAATCACCACCATCTGCTTCCCTGAGCACTCTAGTTAGCAGCTCTGTGCTCCACACAGAGGGCTGTGGTAGCTCAGTGGCCTGTGGTTGTGTCAGGAAGGGCATCCGGTGTAAAAACAGACAGGAAAATTGTCATGAAGCCAAGCGACCCCTGAAGAAGGGGCAGCCGAAAGAAGAAAAATTAAAAAAATAAAATAAAATTAGGTTTCGCCAAGTTTAAATTCGCTAACAAAATTCACAAGCTTGTTTCAGTCTGTTGTGGGCGTGTCTCGAAGAGTTTGTTAGACACGCTATTGGCTTACTACGTGTACGCGTGATGTGATTGGTCGACGCAGC